AGACAGGGTCTCACTCTGTCACCCAGGCTGGAGTGCAGTGGTGCAATCTCTGCTCACTGCAGTCTTGACCTCCTAGGATCAAGCAATCCTCCTGCCTCAAACTCCCGAGTAGCTGGGGCTGTAGGTGCAAACCATGCCCAGCTAATTTCTAGTTTTTCGTAGAGACGAGGTCTCCCCATGTTGCCCCAGCACTGGGATTCCAGGCGCGCGGGCCTGCGCCCAGTCCAGCCTTTATCGTGTGAAGGGTTAGTGGTAAGCGGGACACCCTGTTCCTCTCATCTGCCCTTAAAGCCCGAGTCCACCTGATTTCTCGTCACTCCACGGCAGGGATGGGAGGGAATGACCTGGAGTCTGTGAGCATCACGTGGGGCTGGGTGGCTCCACCCATGTCCACATCCAGGGTCCAGAATCACAGAAGCCCCATCACAGTCCAGGTGAAGCAGCCGGCAGGCAGGGAAGGCATCTCCTCGCCAGGAACCACAAGCCTGCACAGCTCTGCCAGGGAGACGGTGCCTGTTTCTGCATCTGCACCTCGCTCCAGGGGCGCGGCCTCTCAACGCCAGTGACCCCACCAAGGCCTGGCAGATGGCCTTGGCGTCAGCATTCCAGCCCAGCTCCCCAGGCTTGGCGAGATCATAAACCCGAGGCAAGAACAGGTGGTAAAATTTCAACTTTATTTGTCCAATGTGTTCAATTCCAGATTGTGAATTAGAAATGCCTCAAGAACTGTCAACGTCTGATTCAGCTCCAGCATCCTTGGCCACCTCCCCGCCTGGGAGTCAAGGGTCCTGGTTCTGCCTCAAGCAGGCCACGAGCCATGCTGTAGAGAGGCCAGTGGTCACAAGCAATGAGCCCACGACAGGATGTGGAGCCCTGGCTTGAGGGAAGGGGAAGGCCCAGGCCTGTGCTGGGCTCCAGGGCTGGCAACCACCAGCCCTTCCTCCAGGCATGGGGGACACCCTGACAGGATCTGGAAGTCTCCATTTACCCAAAAAATGCAAGAGCCATGATCAGTCATGGCAACACTGCACGCGGTGCTGAGTGACCGTGTCCAGTCTGGCTCCGTCCCTCCCGCACGGGGGACAAGCTTCTCCAAAGAAGCCTGACCAAGGTGGAACAAATACCCTGATGTCGAAAAACGTCTAAAAATCCCACAAATGGAATTTTCAAAGAGAGCAGAAACCTCCCGCAGGAGGGAGGCAGCGAGACTCTGAACACTCTAGCGAGCACTCTGGACAGACCCATAAGTACATCACGGTTTCAAGAAACAAGCCCCACCGGGGTGGGCTGCCTGGAGATGGATCCCTTTCCAAAAACCGAAAAGCAGAAGGAAGAGACGGGGGTGAATGGACGGTGTGTGGGGGCGAGGTGTCACTTCAGAAAGGTTCCCTGGGTTTCCGGCGACGCCCTCCTTCAGATGAGGGCCGCAGGCTTCAGAGGCGTGCGCTGCTGCTGGGTGTGCAGCCCCGAGAGGTCTAGGCAGCGCCCGGGTCTGGCTTTCCGTCTTACAGTTCATCTTTCACAGCTTTCTGATCATCATCTTCCTCCATGTCTGGCTCCTCTGCTTCTTCCAGGTCCTCGAGATCCTGGGATACAGGAAAAGGTGGGGGACACGTTGGCTGCAACGGCTGAGGCTGCCGGCACCCAGCACCCCACGATGCTCACACTGGGGACCAGCCGGACACGTTGGACATGGCCACCGGCCACTGGAGCAGCCAACCCTGGTCTTTAAGAGATACACGGGGTCTTCCCAGGAAGAGTGAGGCCTGGGGGATTTCTACCTATAGCAGGATGAATCAGAGCCCCCACTGTGTCAGGAACCCTGGGAGTCCCAGCTCAGCCTCGGACCCTTCCACTGGGCATGGCAGGCATAGGTGTGCCTTCCAGCTTGGCACCATGGAGCCTACAGAGAGTTCACATCTTGGCAGGGACAACAGCCCCAGCATGATGTTCAGGCAGTCACCGCTGGCGTGACCCTTCTACTTCCAACCCTCAGGCTCTGGCAAGCGACAGACCACAGGCAGCACAAGGGGCCGGCCCTCCGTCCCCCGCCTGGGCAGGCTGTTTCCAGCTCCCACTGTGCACCAGCACTCCCAGCAGGCCCTGCCAGCCTAGACTGACCATGCCCTCATCTCCCTCACCATGGTCAAGCACCCTGCCCCTGCCACATCCTCCCAACACCAGCCCTCCTGCTTTTCCAGCAGAGTCACCACTGCTGCTGGCCACGTGCTGACAGGCAGGACTGAGCTCCTGAGGGCGTCAGACCCATGTCTGCTCCCTTGTGCCCAGGCTCCGCCAGTGGGCTGGGGGTGGATATGTGAGTCCAAGTTAGCAGCATGTGAGGAACCGGTGCCACGCGTCTGAAAAGGTTTTCTAAGCAAAATCTGGTTTTTAAAGATGTCTTTGACCTCGCTCCCTAAAGTGCTGGCCAGGGAGAGCTGTTTCAGCAGAGCGCTGGGAGCACATCCCTTGCCCTGCTGGGCAGAGGTGTGGAGCCCCAGAGCCCTGGATGCACAGACGTGCCTCCGACAGCACCGTTCTCATCACAAGTCAAGGCCAAGTGGGCATGTCCCACGGGGCCGCGGGGCTGAATCCCAGAGACCGGCCCAGGGCTGTGACCCCACTCACGTCATCATCCCCTGCCCCATCCTGGCCACCGCTCTCCAGGAACTTCTTAAAACCATCCAGTGTGCGTTCCCCATTGTAATCGATGACCTGTGGAAGACAGGGATGAGTGCAGGGGCTGGTCCTGGCCCAGAACCAATCTCCCAGCATTGGCTCCTCCTCCCTAGAGAAAGGCAGAGCGGGCCCAGCCCGGTGGCTCACGCCTGGAATCCAGCATTTTGGGAGTTCAAAACCAGCCTGGGCAATATAGTGAGATCCCATCTCTCTCAAAAAAGAAAAAAAGGTGGGTGCTTCTGAAGGAGCTCCCACAGCTCTTCTTCCACCCAACTAGCCCCAGGCTCCTTCCAGACAAAGCAGCACCCAGGCTGGCGTGGATACCATCGCTCTTCCCAGGGCCCGCCCCGGCCCCATCTAGAGGGAAGGCGCACCGTCCTGTCGACGCTGGCAGGAAAGAACTTGAGTGTGGGGAAGCTGTGCACTTTGACGGCCTCCACCTCGTTGGCGGTCGAGTCCATCTTGGCGATAACGATGTTCTCATGGTCCTTGTACGTTTCTCCCAGTTTATCCCAAATGGGAGCCAACTGCTTGCAGTGACCACACCACGGGGCATCTGAAAAGAAAGCAGTTCTAGGGCGTGTCCTGGACCACAAAGTCGCTGGCAGACGCTTCCCCGGGAGTCCGCACACCTCCCGCGTGCCCTGGTGGCACGGACCTGGGAAGCTGAAGGGGCAGCACTTACAGAACTCCACGAAGACGTTCTTGTTCTCGTCAAAAGCCACCTCTTCAAAGTTCTTCCCAACAAGCACCTTGACAGGCTGCTTGTCCCAGTCCTCCGGCAGCTCCTGGCTCATCAGGTGGGGCTGGAGGGCAGGCAGGGCACCGTGAGGGGCGGTGCCGCCTGAGGGACCACAGAGCTCCACAACCCTCACCCCTGCCTGGCTGAGGTGCACGGCTGCCCTTGGCATCACCAGGATGGCAGCCACGGAAGCCAACAGTGCCAAGAATCCAGGAAGAGAAGGCTGAGCCAGTGGGCTGGGCCCAATGAGCCCACGTAGGCCACACCCTCGCCGGCCAGGAGGCTTCCCTGAGGAGCATCTGGGCCAGCAGTGTCAACAAGAGGGCTCCTACAGGTCCCCAAGGGTGTGACAATAGTGGTCTTCACACGATCTTGGGCTCCGTCCTCTTATCTGAAGACCTTCCTTTGAGGACGAAGCCCAGGACACTGAGAGCCCAGATCCCTCAAGGTGGCAGCTCTACCCGGGGGGCAGCCCTGGCCTGGGATGCGCCCGCACCTTGATTTTGCCCTCCAGGAAGCGGTGACAGAACTCTGTGATCCTCTCTGCTGTCAGCTCATCCGATTCGGGCTTGTACTTGGTCATCTCCTCCTCCAGGGTGATGAGGCGCACGGCCGGGCACTCTTCCTTCTTCAGGCCAAAGAACTCCAGGATGCGTTGGTTGTCGGTGTGGTCGCTGTCGATGAAGATGAACAGGATCTGGGGGAGAAAAGGAGGTTGCACAGGTGCGGGAGATGGCTGGCCTCTGCCTCCAGCCCTGACGTCACTCAGACGGTGCGGGAGACGGCTGGCAGGCTGGCCTCTGCCTCCAGCCCTGACGTCACTCAGACGGTGCGGGAGACGGCTGGCAGGCTGGCCTCTGCCTCCAGCCCTGACTTCGCTTGGAAGCAGATCATGCCCCTGGTGCCTTTCCTCCAACCTGGACTCTGGGGTTGCCCAACCAGACCAGCAGGTGACTGGGAGCAGAGGTCTGGCCTGGCTGGCCCCTCATCTACATCCAGGCTCTCCTGAATCGGGTGCCTGGTCTGGTCCAGGAGGCAACCTCAGGAAGGCCCCACACTTCTGTCACCTTAGGAAGAGTCGTACTGTTCCCTGGCACCGCCCCACGAGCCACCCGGAGGAGCAGCTCACCTTGCCCTTAAAGCTCTCAGCTGCTGTTTTGAAGTTGCTCAGTTTGCCGTCATAGTCAGACACACTCTTGGGCAGGAACAGCAGGATGTGAGTCTTGATTTCACCTCCAAAAATCTTCGGGGCTGTCTGTGTTATAAACTTAAGTTACTGGGTCTGAGTCACACGCTGTTAACGCAGAATGTTCTCCCAACGGCCTCCAATGCTAGACGCTGGCCAGCAGTGGTGACCGGGAGCCTCATGCTACCCCCAACCCACTCCTCCCCATCCCCAGCCTGGGGGCTGCATGGCAGCAAGGGAGCCGCACCTGCTCAGTGAACTCGATGACAAGGGGCAGCTGGTTGTATTTGATAAAGTCCAGCAGGTTCTCCTTGGTGACCTCCCCTTCAAAGTTGTTCCGGCCTTCATCAAACTGCGGACAGAAAGGGGGCCCTGACTGAGCACTGCTGCCAGGAGCACAGCCCCCGGGCCCGCATCTCCCTGGATGTGGGAAGTCACAACAGCCAGCAGCCCTGCCCTCCTGTGGTGTTTCGAGCCACAGATCCCAGCAATGGGTATAGGACATGACTGTTCCCTGACAGCCAGAGTGGCTCTGGCCACGGCCTTATGGCTGCCAGTGAATTCAACAGCTGGTTTTACATCCACAACTTGAGCCTGGTGCATGTGGTTCCAGCAACCCTTGAAGTGTGGCCCATCCCCAGGGCCCCCAACCCTTTCAGGGCACCCATGTGGTCAAAGCTATTTTCTTTCTTTTTTTTTTAAGACGGAGTCTCGCTCTGTCACCCAGGCTGGAGTGCAGTGGCCAGATCTCCGCTCACTGCAAGCTCTGCCTCCCGGGTTTACGCCATTCTCCTGCCTCAGCCTCCCGAGGAGCTGGGACTATAGGCACCCACCACCTCGCCCAGCTAGTTTTTTTTGCGTTTTTTAGTAGAGTTGGGGTTTCACCGTGTTAGCCAGGATGGTCTCAATCTCCTGACCTCGTGATCTGTCCCTCTCGGCCTCCCAAAGTGCTGGGATTACAGGCTTGAGCCACTGCGCCCGGCCCAAAGCTATTTTCTTTTGTATTTATTTTTGAGTCAGAGTCTCACTCTGTTGCCCAGGCTGGAGTACAGTGGCACAATCTTGGCTCACTGCAACCTCCGCCTCCCGGGTTCAAGTGATTCTCCTGCCTTAGCCTCCCGAGTAGCTGAGACTACAGAAGCCCGCCACCACGCCCGGCTCATTTTTTTTTTATTTTTAGTAGAGATGCAGTATTTTAATAGATAGTTTCACCATGTTGGCCACGAAGGTCTCGATCTCTTGACCTCATGATCCACCTGCCTTGGCCTCCCAAAGTGCTGGGATTACAGGCGTGAGCCACTGCGCCCCACCGGTCAAAGCTGTTTTCACACTCACACTTCCCTAGCCTTTGCACTCTCCCGCTCACGTGCTGCGGCACAGATCCACAGAGGCTGCTGGCTGTGTGGTGTCGCAACAGCGGGAGGGCGGGAGAGGAGGATCCTGCTGGAGGAATCTAAAACACCACTTAGCAGTAAATTGTTTTTGTCTGGGAAAAATTAGTTTCCATAAAGGTGTGATTTATGATAACATGTAATGGGATGATTATTCTTTTAAATTAACTTGGCCACAGTGGCTCACGCCTGTTAAGTCCAGCATTTTGGGAGGCCAAGATGGGTGGACTGCTTGAGGCCAGGAGTTCGAGACCAGCCTGGCCAACATGGTGAAACTCCATCTCTACTAAAAATATAAAAATAAGCTGGGCGTGGTGGTGGGCACCTGTAATCTCAGGTACTTGGGAGGCTGAGGCAGGAGAATGGCTTGAACCCGGGAGGCGGAGATTG